AAGCAAATTTATCTTTTCCTTTCATTATATGTTAATGTTTCATGGTATAGTGGTAAGCCAGCTTTCTGGGGCTAGGAGTGTGATTTATAGTACTTTCTTTCTCTTTGGTGTAAATATTCCCACCACACTTGATTTCAAGCTACCGATGTGACATCACTGAACACAGAGTGGTGAAAATATACATACATTTGGCTCTCATGAGCTGGTATAAGCTAGCGCTGGCGTACCACTGGCTATATTGATGATAAATATTCTTTTAAAAGAAATAGAAGTTTGGGGCACCTGGGTGGCTCAGTCAGTTAAGCATCCAGCTCTTGATTTCAGTTCAGTTCAAGATCTCAGGGTCATGAGATCGAGCCCCGAATGGGCTCCACACTGCAGGTGGAGCCTGCTTAAGATTCTCTCTCTCCTACTCCCTCTGCCCCTCCTCCCTCTCTCAAAAAAAAAAGGATAAAGTTATTTGTTTTCTAAATGAGAATCTCTCACTTAAATTTTAATGGAGAAAAAAATTAGGCAATATGGAGTAAAGTTGATAAATTAACTTGAGAATAATATTTTTCAATGACAGTGGACTCTTACAAGATCATTTGTGCATTTTGCATATGTCAACCTTTTTTTCAATCTGTATGAGTAAATTCATGCTACATTTATTGACCTTCCATCTTCTGATAGTTCAAATACTGTATGTGAATCATATACAAAGAGGGTAGGTGATTATTGTTATTCTTCATGCTCTTCCCTGCAGTTAGATGTTCAAACAGTGTGTGAGGATCATTCTGTATATATATATATATTTTTTTAAAGATTTTATTTATTTATTTGACAGAGAGACACAGTGAGAGAGGGAACACAAGCAGGGGGAACAGCAGAGGGAGAAGCAGGTTCCCCACTGAGCAGGGAGCCCGATGTGGGGCTCGATCCCAGGACCCTGGGATCATGACCTGAGCTGAAGGCAGACGCTTAACGACTGAGCCACCCAGGCACCCCCATTCTGTATATTTTATAAAGCTTTTCTCTCTTTAGAAATGTATTGGCTTCTAGGGACGCCTGGGTGGCTCAGTCAGTTAAGTGCCTGACTCTTGGTTTCGACTCAGGTCATGATCTCAGGGTCTTGAGATCGAACCCTGTGTCACTCCTCACTCAGTGTGAAGTCTGCTTCAGATTCTCTCTTCCTCTCCCTCTGCCCCTCCCGCTTGTGCTCTCTGTCTCAAATAAATAAACAAATCTTAAAAAAAAAAAAAGTATATTGGCTTCTAAAGTTTATTTTGGCTGAGGAGTTCAACTGACTGGGTTTCACCTCCTTGTGCTTTTTAGAGGAATTTTTCCCAAGTCTCTGAAGGACTACCATATAAACTGAACAGATTTGCAAAGTGCCAAGACCAGGTCTTAAAATAATCTTTCCTTACTCTTCAAAATGAACAGAAAGATAGAAATACACAATATGTTTTTCACAAAAATATTATCCACACACTACAGATAAGATTCTAAAATTCACAAATATAACCACATTATCTATTATAAATGTAAGTATTCTACAAAGCCTCTATGATGTTTATAAAGAAAAATGAATGTTTAATGTTTTCTTTTTACTAGTTAAGTCAACTTTGCTAACTTCAACAAGGGTCTACATTACTGGATTTTTTCAAAGATCCACAATCATGGTGTGATTCACATGAAAGCAGGCAGCTGAATCTGACTTCCCCAGTACTTATAGCTGCTCTCATGACTACAGTGAATTTGGAAATGAGCAAAAAAACCCCAGCATAACTAAAAAAAGAAAAAAGGCTAGTAAAATAGATTTTAATACACAGCAAAAAACTTTGTTAGGTCATCAATTTATATTTTAAAAAAGATATTTATAATTATTCCTATCTCCTCAACTTTATCTTATTAATGAATAGTCCTAGAAACTGCTAATTAAGCTTTCTGCATTATTTAATAATCCACTGGCCTTAAACATATATTCTTTACTTTCAAGGAAACTGGAGCATAAGTGTTATGTGAGATAACCTGTATGCAGAAAAGTTATTGGAATGAAATGCTTTAGTCTGCTTATAGACAGATTTAATGCTCAGTGTTTTTAAAGTCTCCTTTTAAAGTATTTTAATTTCTGGGGCGCCTGGGTGGCTCAGTCAGTTAAGCATCCGATTCTTTTTTTTTTTTTTTTTTTAAGATTTTATTTATTTATCTGAGAGAGAGAATGGGAGACAGAGAGCATGAGAGGGGAAGGGTCAGAGGGAGAAGCAGACTCCTCGCTGAGCAGGGAGCCCGATGTGGGACTCGATCCCGGGACTCCAGAATCATGACCTGAGCCGAAGGCAGACGCTTAACCAACTGAGCCACCCAGGCACCCCTGTTATAGAGATTTTTGTTAAAGATATCCATACTATCAGATTAAAATTCCTTCAAAAATTAATGGATTATCTTCTAGGTTATTGCTTGAAAGACAAGAAAATTTCTGAATGGTAGATACTAGTCTGCTCCCTCAGATTCTCTTTACTTTGTCTGCATTTACTTCTCATGACTAAGTAATTTAAAGTTAATTTTAAGCTATTTCTAAAATAGTTTCCAGAATTCATACGGAGAGGTTTTTAAGTGAGATCAGTGGGGATAGAGAACATTCTTTTTATTGATTATACACAGTTACATCTTCAAAACTGCCACAAAATTACCTCTTTTGGAAGGCTCAGCAGAAATAGCACCAAGGACATGGCATATTTACAACTCTAGCAGAAAACTAGAAAAGCATGAAAATTATCTTTGCACTCCCAACCAGAGTCACATGGAACGAGTGGCAATGCCAGGTTTCTTACTGTGAACTTCAACGGGTGAGATTAGACAAATGCTTAATGCAAAACTGTTTAATGCAAAGTTTAATTCATCTGCTTCTGTACACGTAACATATCTGAATCTACCTGTTGGGCATGGTTAGCCAACTGCCTTCAGGGTAGCCACTCAGAATTCTCTTTCCAAGCTTTTCAAACTTCAATTTATGTTTTAAAAAATGTAAACTACAAAACCATTTCAAAAAAAACACCATTCTATGAAAGACCTAAATATGAGACAGGAATCCATCAAAATCCTAGAGGAGAACAGAGGCAGCAACCTCTTCTACCTCAGCCGCAGCAACTTCTTCCTAGAAACATCGCCAAAGGCAAGGGAAGCAAGGGCAAAAATGAACTATTGGGACTTCATCAAGATAAAAAGCTTTTGCACAGCAAAGGAAACAGTCAACAAAACCAAAAGACAACCGACAGAATGGGAGAAGATATTTGCAAATGATGTATCAGATAAAGAGCTAGTATCCAAAATCTATAAAGAATTTATCAAACTCAACACCTAAAGAACAAATAATCCAATCAAGAAATGGCAGAAGACATGAACAAACATTTTTCAAAGAAGACATCCAAATGGCCAACAGACACATGAAAAGATGCGTAACATCACTCATCATCAGGGAAATCCAAATCAAAACCTCAATGAGATACCACCTCACACCAGTCAGAATGGCTAAAATTAACCAGTCAGAAAATGATAGATGTTGGTGAGGATGCGGAGAAAGGGGAACCCTCCTACACTGTTGGTGGGAATGCAAATTGGTGCAACCACTCTGGAAAACAGTATGGAGGTTCCTCAAAAAGTTGAAAATAGAGCTACCCTATGACCCAACAACTGCACTACTGGGTATTTACCCCAAAGATACAAATGTAGTGATCCGAAGGGGTACGTGCACCCCAATGTTTACAGCAGCAATGTCCACAATAGGCAAACTATGGAAAGAGCCAAGATGTCCATCAACAGATGAATGGATAAAGAAGATGTGGTACACACACACACACACACACACACACACACACACACACACTGGAATATTATGCAGCCATCAAAAAAGAAAAAAAAACCACGGAATCTTGCCATTTGCAACAACATGGATGGAACTAGAGGGTATTATGCTAAGCGAAATAAGTCCATCAGAGAAAGACATGTATCATATGATCTCACTGATATGAGGAATTCTTAATCTCAGGAAACAAACTGAGGGTTGCTGGAGTGGTGGGGGGTGGGAGGGATGGGGTGGCTGGGTGATGGACATTGGGGAGGGTATGTGCTATGGTGAGCACTGTGAATTGTGGAAGACTGATGAATCACAGACCTGTACCTCTGAAACAAATAATACATTATATATTAAAAAAAAAAAAGAAGAAGATGGTAGGAAGGGAAAAATGAAGAGGGGGGAAATTGGAGGGGGAGACAAACCATGAGAGACGATGGACTCTGAGAAACAAACTGAGGGTTCTAGAGGGGAGGGGGTGGGAGGATGGGTTAGCCTGGTGATGGGTATTAAGGAGGGCACATATTGCATGGAGCACTGGGTGTTATACGCAAACAAGGAATCATGGAACACTACATCAAAAACTAATTATGTAATGTATGGTGATTAACATAAAATAATAAAATAAAATTTTAAAAATGTGTGGCTTGATTAATAACATGCCAAGTTCAGTTACTAGCTGAGCTTCCTTGAATATTGGAGGCACAATACTGTTGGTCATTAAGTTCATGAGGGGCCGAAAATTGTTGTTAACTTCAAATTCTTCTCATGGCTTTCCCTTTTATCAGATGAGGGAAGACGGGTTAGAATCAGGTGCTCTGTCTACCGGGTCAAGAACAGATGCCACTGAATCAGGCACACGTAGCAGCAGAATAGAGAAAAGCCATTTCATAGTCTTCCTCCTCTACCACCATTCACATTTCCAAACATAAGAGGTTTATCAGCAACTTGGACCCAAGCTGATCCGGTAAGTAGGCATCTTATTCCAAAAAGCCTAGGTTTTTTTGAATTTTTTTTTTCTGTTTCTATTCCTAAGTAATTAGACCTGACTCTCATCCTCAGCGAAAAAGTCTGCATTTCACACAAAGTCCTCCAACAAGATGTGTGACCCACATAGTCGGCAGTGTAAGTGGGGGCTTCTCACTTACCGCACAGACAAAGGACTTACTCGGGTCAAGGCGTGGGACGTTCCACTTCCAGTGTAGGCAGGTAGGCTCACGCAGTCAGCCTGGCAATCCTGGTTGTCCACATGCTGCTGCCACGGAAGATACAGTCCTCACCTTTCCTCACATCTGTTACCTCCATCCCTATTGGAAAGGGGAATCAGAGGAAACACAAGTTTTATTTTATATCTTTCAGAGCAGGCAGTCCATTCTCCTTCAGGAAAGGCAAGCGATAAAAGCAACTTAGAAACTCAGTTCTTTGGGTCTACCACGGATTTTCAGAGCCAAACATTTCTGGTATGTTCACAGTATTATATAATTTTGAATTGAAAATGACACATTATCTAATTCCAACACACTGTTTTGTAAATGCAAGGTTCTGGCCTGTATATTTTCACTGGACAAACTGAGAAAAAACATAGGATCAACCGAGTCAAGAGTGTATGTGTGGGTGGAGGAACAATGTCAAACAGATTTATCTTGCTGATCTAGCTACTTTGTTTCTCATTATCAAATTTCTAATCATTAACTTCAGCCTTGCTGATGAAATAGCAGCAGAATTGGTAAGAAAATAAGACTGGTGTTAGGGGAACAGAAAAAAGATAAACTCATTTAAATCCCCACATCACAGGAGGACCACTGTGGTTCATTGACAACAGCACAATCACCAACTCTAAGATGTTGTAGGTCTTGAGTATATAAGAAAAAATAAAAAGCAGCAGCAACTGGGAAATCTCCAGATGGCCAAAGAGGATTGAACAAACTACTTAGAACGCAGCACAAAGAGACGACAAGTTGAAAACTGAAAGTGAAATCAAGACATGTAAAATGAGAACTCCAACGTGTCTTAATATTCCCAAGGGAAAAACTGGAGAAGAAGGAAGCGAGGCAAGTTTTGAAGAGATAATGGATGAAGATTCTCCAGACTTGAAGAAGTACGCGAGTTTTCAGATTGATACGCCACAGTACCTACAGGTACAGTACAATGGCAGCAGCGTTAAAAAGGGAAGGGGAGGGGAGGGAAGGGGGGGTGGGGGGAGAGGACGGGGAGGGGAAGGAGGAAGGGGAGGGGAAGGAGGAAGGGGAGGGGAAGGAGGAAGGGGAGGGGAAGACAGGACGAGAAACCCCACAGCTAGGCACACTGTATTAAAAGTGCAAAACACTAAAGATGAGGAAAGGCCATCTTAAATCTATTTCTTCAGTAGGAGGAAAAATGAACATAGAAGCAAGAAGAGGAACATAAGAGCAACTCTTAAAGGAAATAAGAGTACCTGATTTATCTGGTCATATTCTTGCATATGTGAACTGTTCCTTGCCTTATTCTCAGGGCTTAGAGACCAAGAAAAATGGGGGAACAATGGCTTATGAAATGAAACCACTCCAGTCTACGGAACTCCAGGATGGAGCCCAAAGCGGCACCACCGTAGGTGGGACTAATGGGAACGGGGGTCAGAGAGGAGTTGAGCTTAAATGTATGCCACAAACTCATGTAATTGTATCACGCCTGCTATTGCATGAGGAGACAGGATAGCCTCAAATGTGCTGTTCCTTTTCAAAGCCTTGTACCCACTCGTACAAGGAAAAGGGTCCTTATAGTAAACAGTAATAAACAACGTTGGAGAGTCAAATCTGGGAAAACACACAGGATTATGGTAGTTTGAGAAAACGTGTTTCACTCACTTATCACATCAGACCTTGCACCAGTTGCACTAATGCCCAGAGGAGTGGTGAACCCTCCGGCAGCGGAGGGAACAAGGCACCGCTGTGTAGGTTCCTCGCTCCCACCCCTGAGGTTGAGGGGTCAAGGAGCACAGGATTAAAACTGGCCATAATGATTGGCAAAATAAATGATCAGATCTGTAAGACTCAGAGCTGTTGTCAGCCCTGGTCTGTTCCCAGCGTCCAGGTGCTCAGGAAATATTTACTGAGTGAATGAATTAAAGTAATCTGAAACACAAAGGAAGGTATGACGTTAATAGACAACTTAAATCCCTCTGAAATATGTCATACTCTCTCAAGATAAATTTAAAAAACCAACAATCTAGCCACTGATTTTCTGTGGCATCATATTTAAAAGAGGACAGGGTTATAAACATTTTAGGTAATGTTAAACTGAGTTTACTAATTTATGACATGACCCTCAAGGGAAAGTTCTAGCATTTTCAGGCCATGCAAACATATTTTTAACTGAAAATACTTATAAAGCACCTTTCAGTTGGTTGTATATCCTTGCCATTACACAGAAAAGTGACAGAGCGAGGCTTATGTGGGGGATTCGGGTTGTTTTTACGCACCCAGCACCCCAGCACCCCCACCTATTAAGGGACATTCTCTGAGTGTTGCTTCCCACTTCAGAAGCCGAAGGGACTGGAGACACTGTCTTCCTGCCCTCCTGGGAGCCTGAGCGTAGGCTCACAATCCCGGCTTGACCAACTGGCTATTTCCAACCAGGGCTTCAAAAGACGCAGGGAGCTGAGAAACTACTAGTGACGAAAGTCAGCAGCAGCAGCTGCTCCAGCAGAGAGAGATGTCCAGTGTCCTGTGCGGGACAGTCTGGCAGAGACAGTACATCCACAGCCTCGGTGTCCGCTGGTGCCCGTGACAACCATCAGGAGGGCTCATCAGTCACAACGGGCTGTGCTTCCTGCTCTTTGCCAACCTTCAGTTGCCCATATCAGTTTTCTGTTCTTGATCCCCCAACTTCCAGAATGATTATGTGGACAACTTCCTTTTTTAAAAAATATTTTATTTATTTATTTGAGAGCAAGAAAGCGAGCATGTGAGAGAGAGAGGACGAGCGATGGAGAGGGAGAAGCAGGCTGCCCATCAAGCAGGGAGCCCGATGCGGGGCTCGATCCCAGGACCCTGGGATCATGCCCTGAGCCGAAGGCAGACGCTTAACCGACTGAGCCACCCAGGCGCCCCTAGACAACTTTCAAACAGATTCATTTTCTCTTCAAGTTAAACAAAAACATTTTCTTTTCTTTTTTTAAAAATTTTATTTATTTATTTGAGAGAGAGAGTGCACGAGTAAAGGAGGAGGGGCAGAGGGAGAAGGAGAAGCAGACTCTCCACTGAGCAGGGAGCCCGACGCGGGGCTCAATCCCAGGACCCTGGGATCATGACCTGAACTGAAGGCAGACACTTAACCGACTGAGCCACCCAGGCGCCCCAAAAAACCATTTTCTTTACATAAAACTCTGAATGATATACCTTGCCATTTGTGATGCAAATTCATGTGTTATAGTAATTTTATTTTATTATTTTATTATTTATTTATTTGAGAGAGAGAGTATGCACAAGAGAGAGAATAAGCACAGGAAGGAGCAGAGGGAGAGGGAGAAGCAGGGTCCCCGCTGAGCAGGGAACCAGACTCGGGGCTCCATCCCTGAACCCCAGGATCATGACCTGAGCTGAAGGCAGACACTTAACCAACTGAGCCACCCAGGTACCCCTTAGTAATTTTAATATCACTCAGAGAAAACACACAAAATGGGTACATGGTCCCTTAACTTACACATCTGCCACTTAAACTTGGAGAAAAAAAAATTCTATGAATTGTGAGGTGAATTAATTAATTTGTTAAGAACAAGTATTTCTAACTTGTCTTTGCATTATGTAAACTGTTATCTAAGCAGATAGCAATGCAGACCATAAGAGCCGCAGATGATTCTTTGTATTTGGCTCAAAATCTGACTATGCCGCATCATACACTTTGTCTTTCAGACAATGCATCCTTATTACAAAGACATGTTTCATTTTTAACCAGGTAACTTACCTCTCAGGAGTGTGATTTTGATGATGTTTTTAGTCTATACACTGATGTTACTTTCCTGTGACTCATAAGTAGCAGCTGATCAGGGATACATTGATGTTAATTTATCATCTGAACATCCTTCTGGGTCATACATATACATAAAACCGGCTAACTTGTATATGCTAAAGTAATTTAAAGGGCTACATCATATCATCATAGTTTTAGAGGAAGAAAACTAGATGTTATTCCAAATGGTTTCTCTTTGCTGGAGGAGAGGAAAAAAAAAAAAAAGGAATTATATACATAGAGGTATCTATTCTATTGCAGAAAATCTTCTAATTCTACATATACCCATAATTGCATTTAAATTGCCTTTCCCGCATTAGTTCAGGGATTTTGTCATGTCAACAGAAACTTAAACTTTAATAATGAAAAAAAAAGAATAAAAACATTCCCAACCTTAAGTGGCAGGAAGAGACAATAAAGAAATGTTTATTCTCGGGCGCCTGGGTGGCTCAGTTGGTTAAGCGACTGCCTTCGGCTCAGGTCATGATCCTGGAGTCCCTGGATCGAGTCCAGCATCGGGCTCCCTGCTCGGCAGGGAGCCTGCTTCTGCCTCTGACCCTCCCCCCTCTCATGTGCTCTCTCTCTCATTCTCTCTGTCTCAAATAAATAAATAAAATCTTAAAAAAAAAAAAAGAAATGTTTATTCTCCAAAGGGCCCAAATGGAAAAATATTGATCTTGATTCCTACTGGCAACACAAGGGGATTCTTGTCATTTAGAAGATTTTTTGTACCACACACTATTAAGTCTAATAGTTTATTTTCGAGGGGAGTGAACAAGGGAAGGTGCCATCCCTCAGTTGTCTTCTACAAGCCTAGATCATGTTAAATGATGACTTCTGCTGTTTGTCAAAAAAAAAGAAAAGAAAAAAGTGCCTTATTATTTGTGGATTCTCAGTCCATCTTTATGAATTTGTGATTCTGGGTACTAAAAAAGAAGGGGATATGTCACCTCCTTAATTAAAGAAGAATTAACCATTCATTGGCCCTAATACTCTATCTAAAGAACAGATGGGCTCTCTCCTTTGACTTCTCCCTGATTACCATTCAGCAGTTATTAAACTTATGTACAATTCCTAGTCATGCAACTGCCCTTATCTACTTATTTGGAACTATTTTAAGTTACTTATGTGTAACTATCTTACCATCACAATTTAAATAAATGATAACTTGCACACAGAAATAACTAGTAAAGATCTATCTAGAGAGAAGGGAATATAGCTTTTACCAAAATGTTTTGAATGCACAGATGAATGTTTTCAAGTTCAACTGTATCCAGTGAAGCTCATTATCTGGTTAAGTGACTTCTTAAAAGTTGAGAAC